GCCTGCTCATCCTCCCCTTGCCGAATCACACCATCCCACGGCGGTAGGCGCTTAACCTCAGTCATCCTAAGAGTCGCTGCGCTACTTGGTACTCTACCCATGTCTCCGGGTGACATCTGAAGACGGCTGGTCAGGGCGTCGGCGAGAGTGCGGGCGATGTCGTCTGTGGACGGGCCGGCCGATGGTCGCCCCGCGTGTTGCTGGTGGCGTGTCTCGTGGTCGTTCCCGCTCCGGACGTGATCTGTCCTCTGCTGCTGCTCGTCTTGTTCCCTTGTAATCTCGGCCAGTCTTGCTGCTACCCTCTCGTTCACCAGCTCGTTGATCCGGGCGTCCTCGTCCTCTGCTTGACGGTCGCTCTCTCGGTCTCGGTTTCGGTCGGGGGCGCTCATCGGTGACTGCTGCTGAACGCTGCAAAGCGATGTAACTCCAAGCTAAGCTCGACGCGAATATCGTTGACGACGTGTCAAACGCTAGCGTGATCGATAATTCGGGTGGCTCAGTTCTTTGTGTTGGGAGTGTAGAGCAGCTGGGCCATGACGGGCCGTGGTAGGGTAGGGACGTATAGGAAAACGTGTTGTAAAACGTATGAAGGTCATCGGGGGCGTGCTTCAGCTCGTCAATCGGTCACGGCATGGAGTCACGGGTCACGCTCATCACGCTCAAAGTACCTAACGAATGTCCATGAATCTCCACCATTGCATCACAGTCCCAAGGAAAATATGAAGAAACTTCCTGTTCCTCCGTACTCGTCCCTACATCAATACGTAAGATATCACCCACCATGCTATGCTACGAGTATATCTAATAGGTGCAACAGTAGCCCGCGATATATACAAATTCTGCATCCTCTACCATCGTGTGTTAGACGGACCGTCTGTGTGCCGTAGCATAGGAAAGTCGCTAGCATGCAGGCACAAAGAGATGGACGGTCAAGCCTTTGGCTGAGTTGGTATTGAAACCATCGTGGAAAGTAGCAGCCATTCATTGGTGACTCCAATTTCAACAAGGGTTTTAACAAAAGAAATCTGTTTTTAGGCGGACACGTTGTTGGCGGTGTTATTGCCATTAGGCGGTATTCGTTTCGGTGGTAGGCGGTAATGATTTTTTTGGCGGTAACGAGTTTGGCGATGGCGGTAAAACGAAAAAAGGCGTTTTTTTTTCGGCCGGAACGCCATACGGCGGTATTGTGTTGGGGGTTGGCAGTATTTGCGTTTTTCGGCTGCATCGACTTTGGCGGTGTGGTAACGCTGTATCTTATACTGCCGGATTATTAATTTCCGACTGGAAAAAAGTCCGGTCTTTCTTACGGTGAACCGGATTTGTCAGGCGGATTCTTGGGGGGTGGGCGTAGATCGAACCCAGACGACATAATCAGCGAGTGCTACCTGAGTTCTTGATGCATCGCTCTCATCAAGGGCTCCGAGCAACCCTACGCTGAAGGTTTGCTATTCTGCACGCTGGTTGTTGATGGTCGCTGGGCACGCGTGCGTAAAAAAGTCACCTCGCATCACACCAAACATGGAGACGCCGAAACGGGCCACAACGCCACGAGAAACCAAAAAGAGCCGCGTTTTGTCAGAGACGGGAGGACACCGCAACTGATTTTTCCCTCCCTAGACCACCGATCGAAGCCAGACCGGCCAGGATGTGCTCTCTTTCCCTTGCTCTCTGTCGGAGTGGGATTTGCTCAGCAGCTCGTTGATCCAATCATTCGAAATCGTTGTCTGCGTGTACACAAGCTGTTGAAATTGTTTTCAAGCCTTCAACACATCAGTCTATTCTCAAGTGAAGAACGGAAAAACATCACAGTTCGAAAAAGCAACGGACACCACGCGCATGCTTCTCTCCGTCGATTGAGAGTACGAGCTGCTGAGCAAATCTACTCCGGCAGAGAGCAAGGGAAAGAGAGCACATCCTGGCCGGTCTGGCTTCGATCGGTGGCCGAGGGAAGGAGAATCAGTTGCGGTGTCCTCCCGTCTCTGACAAAACGCGGCTCTTTTTGGTTTCTCGTGGCGTTGTGGCCCGTTTCGGCGTCTCCATGTTTGATGTGATGCGAGATGACTTTTTTACGCACGCGTGCCCAGCGACCATCAACAACTAGCGTGCAGAATAGCAAGCTCTTCAGCGTAGGGTTTGCTTGGAGCCCTTGATGAGAGCGATACGTCAAGAACTCAGGTCGCTCTGGGATTATGTCGACTGGGTTCACGTGCGGTGATTTTTATTGGGACAGAAAATCGGGCTGGGCACCAACCCGGATTCTGCTCAACTTTCTGGGCGGCAGCAACCTAAAAAGCTGAACCCGGAATTTTCCGACCCGAAAAAGTAACAAATCCGGCTGAATAAGAAGCCGGAATATACTGCCGATCTTGGATTTTGATGTTTTTTGGGTCAAGGATTCGGAAAAACGGTGGTCTTCCGGTACCGCCCACCACGGCGGTATTTCACGGCGGTAATGATTGCAATACGGCCACAACTTCATGTGACACCAAGCAACGGCACATGAGCAGACGGGAACCCTCTTTCCCGAAGATTGACCATGTACTTCCATGGTTTGTTTTGTCTTTTTCACAAGTGACTTTCACATTTCAGCGTCAACTCGACTAAAAAACGTAAACACATTAAATTGATAAAAACATCAAACACGAAAAGAAAAATGTTTATTATATATTCCATCGCCTGCGCGACACCATCCCCACTATTGTGCGTGGTACCGTATTGGCTGAGGTCTTAATCGACGTGTGTGCAACGCCGACAGCGAGCTCTTATCTGCCGGATCGACCGAACCAGGCTGCTGCAAAAGTATCAGACTCATTACCGGCGTTGCAACTCGTGTTCTCCTCTGTAGAGCTCAATGTTCTGTTGGACCACGCGGGGTGTGGAGCAGGTGTGTGGTGTGCACGCGTCCCGTTCCCCATGCGTCCCTGCCTCTGTCTCCCTGTCCACTCAATACTTCAAACGGTTGTCTCGAAAACGAACCCGAAAATAACTCCAGAATCAAGAAAGAACAAAGTAAAGAAAAATAAGTTCGGGAAACACAACCAAGTCCACGCCTGGACTCGAGCTCCTGAGTTGCCGTTAGACTGTGCTTTGGACGAGAAGAGGCCTCTGTGCACTCAGCCCGTCGGTTGGCGGTGATGTGCCTATATGAAGGTAGATTTTCGGCGGTATTACCATGTGGCGGTAGCTGTTTTGGCGGTTGTAGGCGGCCTTGCGTTTTTCGGCGGCGTCGACTTTGGTGGTGGCGGTAAGTCACGCGGAAAATGCGGTATTTTTTCGGCGGTAACGGCATACGGCAGTACAGTTGGGGGCCCTCTTTAGTGCCGGTAGGATCTCCGGACACAGACAGTGCCCTCAATAGTGCCAGTTCGGCACTATTGAGGGCGGCCCCGCAATAGTGCCGGTTGGGCACCACGGCGCCCCGCAATAGTGCCGGTTCACTGCTGCTTTTTGAACGTATGTTGGTCTTGGCATAGGCACCAATCGACTCTCGTAGCTACTTAGCAACGAAGCCTCTTGCAGGGGGAATTTCGACGATGAAACAGCCTTGCTTCGCCTGAAGGCATATCACACCGACAGGATTCGGAGGCGGTTTGCCTTCGACCTGGCTCGTTTTCTGTCGGTACGAACTCGTGATGTTTTTAAACGTCGTGGACTGATGATTGATCAATTCCCGCCCCGGCGGATAGGTTGAGATCTCAGTAGTGGTGCAGACCATGATGATGGCAATTAGGGGAATTCATTTGGTAGTGACGAAGGAGGAGAGGGAACGGGAGGACGACGGGACTCGAGTGCAAGGTAGCAGCCTTAGTCCTATTCTGTTGCTAACGTTTGTTTGTGTCTTTCATCCGGAGAATAGTGTAGCCTTTCCCATGCCGCCCCCTCACGGGGTCCCAGTTCGTGGCATTTAGAAGTGTTTCACGTTTACTGACGACTGAAGTATTTCATGTTTACAGACGCAATGAGACTGACGTCTTTTCATTTGTTAGCCGGTTAGCGCGGTCGATACTAATAGTAAAGGCACACACAAAGACAGCGGACAGACGCAGCACAGAAAAATGGGTACACGTGCTGCTGCAGACCCGAAAGCGCAGATGTCGATGATCGCAGCGCATTCCGCTAAGCGCGTGCACTAGGCAGACAAGAGAGAGAATATGTCGCGACGTAGTGAGGGCGGTACAAATATGGTGCTTTGTTCTTGCGGTGCGCTTCCTGTCGTGCTTTTCTTGTTTTTTTCTTGTTTTTTCATTTTTTGTTGCAACATCGAAGTGGGTGCGCCAGGAAGACATGAGAGAGTCTGTCGTGACGTAGTGAGGGCGGGGGGTATAGCCATACCTATGGTGGTAGTGGTTGCTTGTTTTGTTGCATTGCGCTGTCGTGCTCTGTTGTTGTATTTGTTTTTTGTTCTTTTTGTCTTTGCAACCAACTTTGTGTGGTTTGGCAGGCGTGTTGCGAGAAAGTCTGTCCACGCCCACGCTAGAAATTCACTTTTCGATCCATTCTGTTCTCTGTTGGCCCCGCAAAGCGGTGGCGCCACACCATAAAATCAAATAGTGCCTCAATAGTGTTGGATCGGTACTATTTAGGGATATTCGAAGCCTCAATAGTGCCAATAGTGCCAATAGTGCCAAACCGGCACTATTGAGGCCCTATTCTCAATAGTGCCGGTACCCGGTGTAGTGCCGGTAAAATCTCAGGACACACCCCGGCACAATGGAGGGGTCCCAACTGTATTGTGTTGGCGGTTGGTGGTATTCGCGTTTTTCGGGGGTTTCGACTTTGGCGGTGACGGTATCCCCAAAAAGCTGCGGTAAAACGGCGGTATACCGGTAGCGCCCACCACGGCGGTGTATTGACGGGGGTAAAAATACGGAGTAGACCCTTGAATTTCGCCACCAGGTTCTACGATAGACCTATTGGATTCATTCCGTCACCGCTTGCTGACGCAGCGTTCTGCGTGTGTAACAAGGAGGTTGGTATCATTGGGTCTCATCCATTCCAAAATGTTTTCCTCTGCCGGCCAAGCTCACCGCAGGAGGTCCGACCATATTCGGGGCAACTTCAATGTGAGATAGTCTTCATACAGCGCAACGCGCGGTACAACGTGGGTTGTGCATGTACGACTGGCAAGAAAAAACAGTTGCGCAAACTTGTTTTGATTGTATATTTGTTGCTCTTTCCCTGCATCGGTCTGCGCGGTAAACACACAGGCGGACCGAGCACACCAGCAGCAGATATCGAGGCGAAGATACAACAACCAGAGCAGCTTGTTCGCGAGAATACGACCCATGCCATCGCCGCTAGCGCCGCTATTAGAGTGGCAAACGACAGCAGCAGCGGCAGATGGGGAGAAAACAAACGATCGTAGAGATGCAGCACCCGCGGCTTTGTCAGGATTTTGCGCCGCGGCTGCGGCAGCTGCTGCCACAAGCGCGATCCGAAAGTCGCACTTCAGCCACGTGGTTGAACGCACAGACCGTTGGTGCTTGGAGAGAGAAGCGTTTAGGGTGAAGGTGCACGAACACGTTGGCCGGGAGTTGGCGAGGATGGCTGCACAAGCTGCAGCCTCACTGGCGGTCGTTGCCGAAGCAGAGGAGAGAGGCAGCGTAATTTAGAGCGCCGGTAGCCGCCGGGGCTGGGCCCGGCGTCGACCTACTGCAGTAGCGAGTGGCACTTCATGTAGTTGGCGTAGCATCAGTGCTTGACCGCCGTAGGTCGCAGAAAAGAGTGACCAAGGGGGATGAAGATGACGACAGCAGCATCTTCGGCGCGATCCGAAGATCCGGTGCGCTCTAGAACTATGAAGTTTGTGTACATTGGAGGTGGATATTGAGTGCAACGATAATTGGATTTTGATGGATAATCCCTTCCCTCCCCTTCTGGGAGACAATAAAGTAACCTGACAATGTCTCAATCGCATTGCAAAGCGATTGAATATGTACATGCATGTACATCGCCATACAAGAAAACTGGGTTGCCATGAACCTTCGCCACTGGATTATATGTCCATCGTTTGTCGGCTCAAGTGTGCTCGAGGCTGTCGTTTTTGGTACATGAATCTGCGCAACGTGAAAGCCGAGTAGCGGATATTCGAGGGCGGTTTCATAGAGTCGTGGAAGCTGCGGAGGACCCAAACCGCGAGAAATTATCCCCTTGGAGCTGCAGCTTTTTTCAATATGCCGTGAACTGACGGCTTTCGCCTTTGCCCGCCCACGCCCCTTTCGTTTCGCATGATTGGCCAGGTCCCCCCTCTGGTTCCTGGCCGTAGTCAATCACCAGCGGTGTGAACCGACGCGTGTCTTTGCGAAGCTGACCCGAAAAGATTCTTCTCACTAAGAGGAAGTACATGCACTCGAAACTGGACTTGCAGAGGACCCTTCCAGCATGTACAGGGGGGTACACACGGCATTACGTCCGCATTGTCGTCGGCACCCACCCGGTTCGTAGACACCACTCCCGCTTGGTGTGCATGTCCAACGACCCCCAGAAGCCTTATCGACAAGAACATTGGCATATGCCTAGAACTACAGCATGTTTGACACGAACTCGTGAATAATCATAAACTCTCGCACTTAACATGTCCTTGGGCCACGATCCTTTCACTCTTGACCACTGGCAGCTGGAACTACAACAATTGATCTCGATGCCCTCCCCTATTTCTCATTGCATGAGATGTCCGAAGTTGATGTACCAACGCCCGCCTAACCAAGGGGAGATGAAATCCACCTCTTGCCCGCTTTTAGTACTTGGCAGTCGTGTGAATCTGAGAACCGCCCCGAGTTCTCCTGTCCGAAAACTACAGCCGTGACACTCGCGTGTTGCACATGTTCCTTTTCGTCTCATGCACTGCTGTACCACGTTTGGCCACCACAACAATTGATGCCAAAACCTAGGGCTAACGCCAAGTTCAAAGTTGAAAACCTGTGAATGCAACGCGACCAAAAAACCTGGAGACTGTCGTCTCTACAGAGTTAACACTAACGCCGGGTGCTTAGCTAAGAATCCTACTCAAAGCCTTAGTAGTCTATATTGGGTCGACCCAAAAAAGAACCATGAAACGAACCTTGAGGAACAGCAAGTGGTGTAGCCTTCTGTACCCATGTCCTTGCGCTGGTGTTACCATTAAAGATGGTTCTGCTGCTCCCTCCCAGGCGAGCTTGCAACCACAGTCCAACCCCCGTTGTAAGTAAAAATACTTACCCGTTCTTCTTTACTCGGAGACGGGCGTCAGACGCCCACCCGTGTCTTTGTTCCACTCGACAGTAAATGAAACCTACCAAGTGCGCCACACGTGCACTCTCGCTCCTCCTATGGTGCTTGCGCGAACACGAATACTTCATTCCGGGATATATGACGCTCGTGCGGATAACTATTAATAATGAAACAACAACAAGCCGTTCGTCCAGTGAACCCTACAACGCGAAAGAACAGCGGCTGCCGATGCCCGAACGAACAAATGCTCGACTCCGCTGCTCCACCACACCCGTTCTAGTTCGCCGCGGCGGCGATTCTTCCCTACTCCTCCTGGCAAGCAGCTCCCCTCCTCTTCTCCCGCTCCCCTGTGATGTCAGCACGTCTGCATAGTTGGGATCTGTATCATCATTTCGTTTGACAGCTCTAGCTCTCCTCCTCAATACTGACGAGTCTCCTCGATCGGCCGTCGTCCACGGGTCCAAGGTGCGCCGACTCGATGGAGAGCGACTTCGCTAGGCAGATGGACTTCATCACAGCCTTCTGGACCAGTATGCACAGCCCCGGGTTTTGGTGCTGTGGGTATTTCGTTCGAAAAACAGCGGACGAAATGCGTGCCGGTTTCATGCACGGGAGGGGGTAAAGCGGACAGATGGGGGGGGGCGAAATTGCCGCCAAGGCACACAAAACGACCATGAATGAGGGTATGTTTGACGGGGTCTGCCGCTCGCCGGCGCGAACTTACCGCCACACATCAGAAGGACGGTGTTGATCTGAATAAATATTCCAAAAGGCCAACGGACAGGCCTACCTGCATGGCCACCATGCCCGCCCTGTCGAGCGTGTGCAGGTGGCACGGCTCCCTGGCGACGGCGCGAAACGCCTCTGGGGTCCTGAGGAAAAACCCCACCTCGCCAAAGGTGCCTCCAGCGCAAACCTTTTGGAGGCGTCTTGGGCCGCACTCCCCGGGGATCTGGGGCACGGGAAGACATGTTCACCACGGGTGGGGGAGTGGTGTCGGGTAGCATGGGGTGGGGTCTGGATGTACTCATGTAAACGCATGGCGTAGTCGTTGGACCATTGATCTCGCGTCCCTTCAATGCCGGGACGGAGGGATATGCCGGGTTTCGCGGGCCCAGGCTACGGTTCACAAGGATGAAGCAGAAGTGGGGGGCGTACTCATGTTTGGCATGCCTTCAGCAGTTGTTAGACCATTGACCGTGCGTCCTCGAGAGGACGGAGTACTGTTCCCATGGGACCCGACCACAGAGAGCGGGCGGGGGGGGGGTCACTGTCAGAATACAATTAGCAAGAGGGTAATTGGGCACAGTGACAAGAGGTGAAAGCGAAGGGTCCAGGGGTCCAAACCATTGGACGCTCTGGAATCGGAACAGGACCCACAAGAATACGAGTGGAAAACTTAACCTACGAGCATAGCGCTCCAGAAAAGGACGCGTTGTAGTCGAACGACAACAGCAGTGTTACGCTTGCGCGGCAGCCCCGACGCTCTGATTTGATCCTTGTGGTGGGAAGGTGGAGAAAAACTAGTTGCGTGCTTTAGTTATAGATTTAATTCACGAAAGGGTGTGGAGGCTGTCGTTGTCGAAGAAACATTCCGTGACACCCCCCACAGCACTACCTACGACAAGCACCGGGGTCCTACACGGGACGCCGCAAAGCCTTCCTTCTTCCACAGATTCCTAACACACGGCGATTGCTTTGATTTTTGGCGGCGAGCAGCGCGCGACCGAGCGCTTGCAGAGGCCTTGAAGGCGCTCCTCGCTCCTCCGTGCCCGCTGCTGCCGCAGGCGATGCAGCACACCGGCCATCATGTAGACATATTTATTTTGTCTCTCTTGCCGAAAACGTGACACGAAATTATTATTTTTTCTCAACAGGCAACCTCCAATGCCGCCCACCTGCAGTTCCACGCTACCGGACCCGATGAAGTAAACCTTCTCGGGCGAGGAGGGAGAAGAGGAAGGGCTGCCGTAGTCAGCCAGCACAGCTCCGGCCACCACGTGCTCACGCCGGAAGAAAGATTTGGCCTCCCCAAGCACGCTGCGGACGCTTTCCGGGGCCTGGGGGAGATATGTGGTACGTCGTTCCGGTCCGGTTTACGGTAACAGTTTCCCGTTTCCCAGCCACATCTTGTTCGTAATCTAAATACGTCCATTGTAAGCGATGCGGCTCTTTGCAGGCTTCCGTACGGTTCGGTTTCCGGCTTTCGGTTTTTCCGTTTTCCAGTTATTTCTTCGACAACCTTCACCCAATGTGTGAGCCAGGAACGTTCTCGTTGCAAGTGCTGCCCCATGCGATACACACTCAATGCAGGCTCCCGTAGCACCACTCAGCGAAGGGGAGGAAGTACACGGCTCATATTGTTGGATTTGACGGTGGATGATGTTCTTGTAGGCGTTCGGTCGTAATCGTCGTCATCGTCTTGTACCACGTAGGTACATTCACAGTTCTGTCTGTAAGGCTCGCTCTTTCATGCTCCCACGCAAGGCCAGAGCGCCTCAAAAACACGAAGGCAGGCGGAACGTGCACGAGGAATCGCGCGGGGGACACCGACCCCAGTGGTCGAAGAATGCGGAAGATCTAGAAATATGTGTCGTTTTGTTCCAGTCCGAGAAGAGGTCGGACACGCTAACGGTAACAGACCTCGAACCCAAACAAAATGAAACGTACAGGAGCACAACATACGCATTGTGCATGTAGGCGAAACAAAGGGTTCGTGACCAGCGTCCGAGCCACAAATCACGGTTCCAGATTTTCTATTATGCATTGGATGCGACGGGGGGAGGAAAACATGATCAGAAGGATCCGTTTGAAAAGCATTGTAGGCAACAAAAAACGATATTCACGGTCGCGACGGCCTGCCGCCTCCAGATCGTAGTCAAGGTCAGGCAGAACAGAAACATAACAGGATGAAATAGACCTTGAAATAAGAAGAACGGCGAAAGGTGCAACAAATGCCAATTCTACAAACATGACCCTGAACATGCTGCACAGCTGAGCAAAAGAAATCAGAGTCAATGCAACGGGGGGAGGAAAAAGAGGCGAAAAGAAGGATCCGTGTTAAAGCATTGTCAGGTAACCAATAACGACAACCGCGGTCACAATGGTCTGATGCCTCCAGATCGTCGTCAAGGTAGGGAATAACAGAGACAGAACAGGATGAAATCTGCCTGAAGATATTGCAGGGAGAAGAAGAACGGCGAAAGGTGCAACTAATGCCAACTCTACAAACATGACCTTGGACGTGTTGCACAGCTAAGCAATCAGAGCCGCGAGTACAAAGCGAGGGAGAAAATCGCAACGCATGCTCGAGCACAAAAAAACAAAATCAACGCACCTGGTAACGGTCAACTTCGAGGTAGTCCTCGAGGATAAACTGCAGAGATCCAACATCTCCGACGACGAGAGGGTTGTCCAAGCCTGCACACGGCGACAGCACGGGACGGGTGGGCAGCCACGACGACACCGAATTATGCGAGAAACGGAAGACGGGTACTGGACAACGACTGAGTATACGGGGAAGTGGGACCATGCTAAGAGATGGGGGGAGATACAGGGGGATAGAAAGCGAGAATAATGAGGGAGAGAGGGAGACAGTATGTGTGTGTGTGTGAGAGAAAGAGAGAAACAGTTACGCGTACCTAACTCCACCCGACGAGCATGAACAATATCAACATCACCTTGCACTCCTCTCTCTCGAAGGCACGCACGCACAAAGCGGGCCAACCATGCCACCCAAGCCCACCTGCTCGCCCCCAAACCCACCCAAACTCCCCCGCCAAAACCCCGCCTACCAGCAGGCATACTCAACAACTGTACCTACAGTCGTGGCTCCGATGAAAGAGGGTGGTGTGACAACGGCCCTTGGCCCTCTAATATGGGAGCGCCCTCTCATTCCGGAACAACAGGTTACCAACTAGAAGTATACGATAGCGGGTGGAGTCCGTGACAACTGATGTCGACCCTCCCATTTCGGAGCCCCCTCTGACGAAGTACCCTCCAACGTCGGAGCCCCCTTGCATACTGGAACAAGAGGGTACCCAACTGGGTCGAGTCCGTGACAGCCGATTTCGACCCTCTTCTATCGGAGTCCGCTCTGATAAGGTCGTACCCTGTGCTATCGGAGCCCCCCTCTTGAGGTAACCGCTAATATCGGAGCCAGGCGACTGTTTGTACCTCGGTCGGAGATCTGGGTGCTAAACGAGCTTCGTCTCCGTAGAGTTCCGGCGCGGAGGTAGTAGTCCTCGTGGTCCCCGAGAAACACGGCCGCCTCCGCCTCCGCCTCCGGCGCGGCGGCGGCGGGGCGGCCCTGTTCCCCCTCTCCCTCCTCGTTATTGCTCCCGGCCGGCGGCACCCCTCCCCCACCTCCCGCTGGTTCTTCCGTCGTGTGTCGGCCTTGTGCCTGGGTCGTCAGGGCGAGGGGGGGGGGAGTCGTCCCCGCCAAACACGCCTGCTGATGTTTTTGTCGGAGGAGGGAGCCGCCGATGGACGGGGAAGCCGTCACCCCCCCACCGCGAAGAAGCATCTCTTCCCTCCGCTCGTCCAGCATCATCTCCTCGGACCACTCCAGTGCGGTGTCGAGGCTAGAGTGGTTTGGTGTGCGCGTGATAGGGGGGGGGGGGGGGTACCCGTAAACTGCGGTGCACTGAGCTAAAAAAAGCGGACAAGATTGCGACGCAGTGCACAGTTGTTGCTCTTTTGGCTGACTGGTGACAGTTGTTCCTGGAGAGGTATCGAGCAATAACTTGCCGGCACGCTTCAAAAACCTTTTTCTCGGGAAAGGCTTGAGGACACACGCCCTACGGCAGTGATCGTCAAGAGGAGAGAATAAGGAGAGAGAGGCAGAGAGGGAGAGAGGGAGAGACCAGACAAAGAAGCCCGAAAGAAAAAGCAAACCACACAACCGCGAAGAGATAGACAGGCGCTGCCATCGGTATCCCTGTAAACACGCGACACCCCCGCCTTCACCACCGCTACCCAGTACTTAATAAGAACGAACGAGGAACTACAACACACACAACGTACAACACTTGGGAGAAAATTACCCCACGCAAGAAAAGTCAACATCGAGGGCACAAGCACGTGACGCGCACGCACGCGCGCATGTACACCGCCTGCCTGCACCTGTTGAACACCGGGTCATCGTCAGTGATTACCCCGTGGGAGCGAAGGAGCGCCTGAACCTTGCGGGTGGTGCCCGAGAACACCACGTGGACCCCGCTGGTCTTCAGCACGACCTTGAGCATCAAGAAGCACGACCGCGCCGCCGTAGCATCAACGCCAACCTGTGTGGCAGGTTTGCCCGGGGAGACGTGGTGAGGGGGGGCGGGAGCGGAGGCGGCAGGCGTTTGTGGAGGCAATTGGGTGTGTGGAACGTTATGTATACCGGCAGGCAACGAGCGTTGTAGAGAAGAGCGCCAGCCGGTAAGCGACCGCTGCGTGGTTGCGTGTGCGCTTTCTCAACGGGAAATTCCTACCACAACGCCATTGTGCCGGGAGTAGTTCGGAAGAGCCCATCGCAATCAGCTACTGCACGGAAGAAGAGAGGACGCCGGAAGCGAGCAAAGGCTATTTGGAGCTCGCTGTTCGGGCAAGAATCGGGGGTCCCTTCTGGGTTCTTCCCTCCCAAACGCGACTGCCGAAAATTATCCACGACGTTCGGGGTTTCAGAGGACATAGGACTCAATTGCTGCCGCATGAATCCATGAGGTTCGAGATGTCAGACAGGCATGCGACTCACGCTGCTGCAAGAGTCCACGAGGAGCAAGACATCATGCAGGCACACGACCCACGATGCTGCAAATATCCCAATATGTTCGAGACTGCAGGCAGGCAAACACTCACGACATTCGAGAAATCCAATATGACGCGCCGGGTTCGCTCTTCGGAGGCCGGTAGGAGAGACGCCACCGAGGGAGACCGGGCCCCGCGGCCGGAGAAACTGGGGCTGCTGTCGCCGCCGCCCGTTCTGCCGGTAAGGCCTGGGCAGTCGACAAACGACCCGCCGCCGTTTGCCCAGGGCTGTTTCCCAGGTCCACACGAGCGAAGGAGGGAGAGACGGAACTCGAACGTTAAGGGGGGGAGGTCGATGACTGTGGATCAATAACGGCGATATCCTTCTAAGCTCGTCATCCATGAGTTATACGCACACGACACGCATTTAGCGCCTTAAACACTCCACGTTCTTGTCAATCTTCAAGAGATCTCCGCCTCTTCGGCTATTCGTTCTCTCTCTATCCGTCCCCTTTTCCCCGTACACCAACAACCCCTCTGTTGACAGCCTCATCTCTGACCCCCGTACAGTAGTACTCACCGACATGTATTCCTGCACGGCACCCTCTCCGACCCTAGGCTCCTCCCCAAGACTGGCCCCGCGCAGGCGTCGCACGCGCACCCCCGCCGTCGCCGTCGCTCCACCGTTGCTGCCGGCGCCCCCGTCTCCGCCGGCCCCGCCTTCCTCCATCGCCCCATAGCCAGTCGTTTCTCTTGTGGGGACCGAGAAGTTAGCCCCGCCACTACCACCGTCATGTCTGCTGCTGGCATTTGCGAGCACAGCCAGCGGCTCCTGCTCCGCCTGCTGATGCTCGCTCGCGCCTGGCAACAGGCCGCCGGCTCTGTGGAAGAGTCGACCCCGGCCGCCGTCGGCCCCGTAGACCCCTGTGCTCGTCGTCGTCGTCGTGCCCCCGGCTGACCTTGTTCTCGCCAGCGACTGAGCTAGGGGTGATGATCTTCCTTGAGGAGAAGCCCCCCCCTGCTGCTGTGAGGATGTCGACATGGGGGAGGGCCCGGGCAGTACCGACGAGGGCGCAGCCACCGCCGCTGTTGCCGAGGATGATCGGTAGACCGCTCCGGATCTATTGAACACCGGGCTCAAGATGTCCCCGCAGGGGCTCATGGCACCCACAGCAGTGGTCCCTTCGCCGCTGGGCTTGACATGCGCAGCGGCTTTCAGGTACGTCTGCTGCTGCTGCTGCTGCTGCGGCGGCGGCGGCGGCGGGTGCCCGACACTTCTGGTGGAATGGTTGCTGTCGTCGTAGACGTTGCCGAAGATGCCGGTGGCGGGAGCCCCGGCGTTGGGGGTCGCGGGTAGGTCGGTGCCCCACACGATGCCGTCCTTAACGTCAGACAAGATTTGCACCGCGGAGCCGAAAAAGATGTAGCCCTGCGTGTTTTGCATGCACGTGGGTTTTCCCGCGAGAGGCGCGCGCATAGGACAGCAGTATCGAACGAGCAAACGACAGCGGAGGGGAGAGAGAAAAAGGTCAGCATCGGAATGAGAGGGGGGAGGGGGGGAAGGGCGCAGAGAAATAGATTACCAGAGACAGACAGACAGACAGAAGAACATAGTGCCGTTGAAAAGAGCAGATTCACTACCTCGCAAGTTGTGAATTTCAAGCAATAGATAGGGGGAGCGGCGAAAAAAGTATGGGAAAGGGCGCGAAGGGCGGGGGCGCCATCGGCAGTCAAACTTTGCGAGCCTTCGGCGTTAGAGAATCTACCTGGTTCTGCAACGTAGCAGGGTCCAACCCTTCTGTTTGATTGGAGATAATGTATGCGCCCTAGAAAGGCAACACGCAGGAAAAAGAGACAACAAGCGTGTGCTTCAACCTCACATAAACAAACGTGAGCTGTTGGTTGGACTGCTTTCGCAAAGAAAACCAGTACTCCGAGTATATACATACATATATATTGTCTTCACTTCAAAGCAGCGCTCACAGCACTAGTGCCGTTTTCTCCAATCCGTGGTCACATTGAAGAGCCCCTCTCTACCCTCCCCTCCTGCGGTACGTTGCCTTCGATTCTTTAGCGAGAAGAATTCAGCGCTCTCTTCCCTCTGTGTACACACGAACTAGCGCTCTCCACTAGGCCAGGGGCGGAAGCGAGAGAAAGACTCACTTTGCAAGAAAAGCTCGCTTCCGCCGGGATTCGAACCTCTGACCTGACCTCTAGAAGGTTTCGAGGATACCAAGTAAACCACCGGGGCGCCCGGTTATACTAGAAAAAAGAGACCCGGCAGGGGATACGCAGACCCTTACCCTAACCCAACCGCCAACTTTACCGCTCTCATAGTTTGCCCAGAGTGATTGCTTACTTGGAAAACCTGCGCAGACTACTGTTCTTTGATTTATTGCATATACCTGTAGCTCGAGGACCACCGTCTGCTCCTGGTGGGCCTTGAGGATCACGCGCTCCTCGAACGTCCGCATGACGGTGCTCGCCTTCACACGTGTCTTCATCACCGCGGGAACCTGGGATCAGGAAAACAAGATGGGAGAGAAGGAGAAAAAATGACCGTTCGTCCTTTCGGAGATAGACATGAGAACACAATAAGAAAAATATGAAGAAGAAAACGCACCCAAAAATAGAAAAAGAACGGAAAAGAACGAAGAAAACGACCTGTCTTCCTTTCGGAGATGAACATGGAACCAAAAGAAAACACACACACACACACACACAAACGGAAAAGAAGGGAAAAATATGACCCATCGTTCTTTCGGAGATGGAAGAGCGTGACGGCACCCACGAAAAATATTCTGCCAAGGATTTTGAGTCGCTTAAGGAAGGGGGGCGAAGAAGACTTGGGAAAAGATCACCAACACTCTTGTTCGTATGAAACACATGATGGGAGAAGGGTAACAATCGACCCACAGAAAAACGGGCCGGAAACGAAACGAAAACTATGGAAACTCCACCGCGGAACTTGGTGAAGTCGTGCCTAGTTTGTCTCTGTGCGCGCCCCTTGCCCCCCTTACCAGCCACGAGTTTCCGTCAACAACGATGCCAGAGATATAGACAGGTAGAGAAATAAGAAGATAGAGAGAGAGAAAGGGGAGAGATACGACAGACTAGGTGCTGGTGGCTCTTGCATGCCTGCGTCACACACACACCCCACGGCATCTTCCAACCAACCCATCACCCGTGCCATCTTCCATCACCTGCGCGTACGTGACGGTGAAGCCGAGCGCGGCGAGTACGAGCCCGACGACCAAACCCTTCTCCACGCCCCAGGCCTGGATCGAGCCGTACGTCGCCAGGCACACCAGGTACTCGGCTGGCATCATCCTACCCCCCCCGACCCGAACGTGGAAAGACGCGATAGATCACAGAGACATGGTCAGCTGGCTGTTTGACGTCCTTTGTCGTGCGTGTCAATCATCTCAACAACCCCGGCCGGGACGTGGAACAACAACACGGCCACGGCCGAAGGTATCAAGCGTGCAGCAGTACCTTATAGCTGGAGGTAAAATCAAGCCCACCCTAACTTACCAGTTGATTATCAGCCAGCAGGAAGGGCACCCGTCGCCGACAGTAGAGGGTGGAGGGGCGTGCTCTTATGTATTGCCTTACGGTTAGACCATTGACCACGCGCCCTCGAGAGGGCGGAGCATTGTTCCAACAGGACCGATCACCGATGGCCAATCGTTCATTCCTGCTTTGCCAAAGGTGGCTCAAAAATGTCTTCCCTACTCTATCCTTCCTATCGGTATCACTTCCCGCCTTTTCAACCCACTTCCCATGCCCCAATACAGCTACGGTCTTCTCCTGGCCATTCCATGCCACAAACATCTCCCTGTACGTTCCTTCTACGTTTCCCAGCTCAGTAATCTACACTTCCTCTCCTATAACTTGACATGCCGAAACTACATGAACACGGCCTTCGCACTCGGAGCCGCAATCACATTTGAACTTGTCGTCTTCATCGCCTTCCTTCCTAAATCTTCGTCTACGTTCCCGAAGGCCAATGTCCCCGGTCCTAAATTTGACGTTCAGCTTTGTCCCTTCATCCAATGGTCCATGTAGGTACCTGTTCCTTCTTTCAACATTCCGTACACTTCTAGACACTCCTTTCCCTTGGTTCCTTTGGCTAGATTCTGTTATTCTCTCTCTGCCAAAGCAACATACATCTTCTCCTTGAACCCCTCTTGACCTTTCGTTTCCAGCGTTTCACCGTCAATTTCGAACTCCTTCCATACGTCATCTACAGCCTTGTCCCACTCCGTGCGCTGTCTACCCCTCTTCTTCTTTGCCTTCTTCACCTCCCAAGCTATCCTCGGCAACCTCTCCTCTCCCATGCCGCGCATGCGATACTGCCATTTTAGCTTCTTTGCATCTCTTCCCGATCGTAGGGATTGAATCCCCAGCTCTGCCCTGACGGCTGCATTACTTGTGCGCTTGGAACATCCTAGGATTATTTTCGCTGATTTCATCTGCGTCGCCTCGAGCTCTTTGACTACCTTGTTATTTCCTTTCCACTACTTCTCCGGCGTACTCTAGCGGTAGTAGAACAAGGGGGGGCACTAACTTGCGAACCCACCCTCAACCAGAAACCCACCCAAAACCCGGCAAATCATAGGACAGGAAGACAAACCGCACAGCAACCCGCTACCCAAAACAAAACCCATACGCAAAATACATACGCGGGGCACGGCGTCTTACCAAACGCCGAACGCCACCCGATCCAGTGCTCCGCCGGCTTCCTCACACCCACCCGCCACAGCACGCCACGCAACTCTTTACCAACACCCCCAACCTAGAACCTGACCACACAATCAGCAACAGACTGAGTGGAAACCTCGATCTCGTTTTCCGGCAATCTATTCAACCATTCTTGCCGACACCACGCACAACTCTCTACCGACATCCCCAACCCAGGTCGATCTCACCACACACCCAGCAGCAAACGGTCTCACCTCACCCTGGCCTGCCACAGCCACTCGACCATGAGGTCGACCGCGATGAGAACCAGCAGGGCGCCGAAGAAGCACCTGGGCGGGAAGCTGATGACGCTGGCGGGCGATGCCGCCACGCCGACGAGCATGACGAACGATGTCGCGCTCGCCACCCGGGTGTCGACGCCTATCTCGGTAGGGACGATGGCGGTTGACGGGAGCCGGGGGGGGGGGGGGGGGGGGGGGG